GTATGGAGAGGTAGGCGCCTAGTAATTAATTAATTGATCGCCCTAGTTCCAGCTTTACTATGAATGGTTGTTCTCGTACTATCTCACGGGTTATAAAGCAAATTTACCTCTCGTTGGAATTTCGTTTCGGATATACAGCTTGTGTCTGACTTTTATATTCCTATATATGCATATGTTCCAATGATAAATTATTGGAAACCAGACGTTTTACAGATAATTAATTAAATTAAAAAAATAATTGAGAATTTTGAAACAACACTTATAGTGCTACTACTTAGTTCTGAAATTGCCCTGCATATCCAAGATAAGTATAAAACGTTATATATTATATTAACGTATATTATTAACGTATATTACGTTATATATATATTAACAAGCACGCCTTTGTGCTCATACTACCGCGCATATAAAAATCTAATTTTAGTAGTTCTTAAGCGTAAGGCCTACAGTTTAAACGTTTTTAATCTTTTTGCTATATGCGCAAGTTCATTAGCTTGAGTACATCAGTATTATTCGGTAATATTCAATTTGGGATATGCAACGTACCGCTGAACTCTAGGGCCGTAGGCTGAGCAAATTCCTAGGGGTGCAAAACATTGCATTCATGACTCAACTGTGTATTGATGAGCGACGGGCGCAGCTCTTGATCAACGTCCATTGTGATAGGGGTGGGTCTGAGACAAGGCTAGTATTACCGCCGTAAAGATTATTTATTTATATTATATATTTATTTCTTGGAGTTAACTTAACAGCAGTCTTTATTGATAATAAGGTGCATAGGGAGTCCGAGTATGAATCTTCTCGGTGCCGTGAGAAGCGTGTTGTATCTCTAAATGTGCACGCCCGACACAGCGCATGTTGCTACCTGGTATGGCATTCACAGTGAAATATTGTAGATTGTCGATGGTTTCTAAACGTGTCAGATGCAAAGAGCTCAATAGTAAAGATTTCCATTCAGCTCTGCTGCTCTAGACAAACGCATTGGTGACCGAAATCGTTTCATGGCGTATCGAGGCCAGTTTCTAGAGTTTATGCTGAAATTAGGTGTAGTTTATGTATGGCGCTGTGCGTGTGTGATTTGTGTGTATTTTGTGCCAGCTATTTTACTGTCAAAACATGCAATGTTGGTGCCACGTTTCGAGCTTGATAAATCTGCGCCTTTCTAATTGCGCTTTGGCGCTCGCTGAAAATGAGTTACAGTACTTCCGTAATGTTGCTCTCGCTTTCTAACAGCGAGATTAAGACGACGTACGTGCCCTAGTTTACACGAATTGATAATGCCGCTGCAACAGTGGAAACGGTGTACATACCTATACTACGGTGTACTAGTATAAGAGCCTGTGGCTGTGACGGGCCTGGGTCGTGCGTGCATATCACTCGTGATCAACACACGGTGCGATCAGAATTCTTTGCAAGTAATTATATGGTTTACGGAGATGTGCCAATATAACCAGATAGCGTAATAAAACATATATCAGTATATTTCCGAACAACATTTGTTTTCATGCTTTATTCTTATAAGTCGTGTTAAAATCTCTCTTACATCCATGTTTCAGAATATTGGAAAATACTCTTAGATTATATCTTTATGATACTTATAGGCGAAGAGCCCAACACTGCACATGTATATTCAATATTGACACGACTGCCAGACTTTAACATATTGACATATTGACATATTGCCAGACTGATTGCCAGACTGATTGCGAAAGTCGCCACATGACACCAACAGCTATTACGGTCGGTACTCACGTGGATATCTGAAGCAAGTTCCCGTTTCTATCCCAGGGGCGGATCCAGGATTTTTGAAAAGGGGGTGTCCAGGAAGAAATAAAGGGCACTTTCTCCTGCTTACTTTTTCTGGTGTTTTAAAAAGCTGCCGAAGGCCACTTAAGGGAAGGGGAGAGACTTCCCCGAGATTTAAAATTGGTGCATTCTGAGAGCATCTGAGCAGTAATTTTGATGTCTAGAATGCAAAAATTTATCAGACCCGGTCCCCGGACGCCTGCGGACCCCTCTTTGCCAATTTTTAGGTTTTTATAACGAATTTACATATATATAAGTAAATCTTTATCAGAAAAACTAGCGCTAAACAATATTTTTTTATGGAGACAATATAAGAGAAGTGTGTGTGTGTGTGTGTGTGTGTGTGTGTGTGTGTGTGTGTGTGTGCGCGCGCGCGCGCGCGCGCGTGCGTGCGTGCGTGCGTGTGTGTATGCTTTCTTTTTCTTTTTTTGTGGTAAAAAGGGGGGGTCCGGACCCCCTCGACTCCCCTCTGGATCCGCCCCTGTATCCGATAGAATTTCCTGTCATACTTATGCTGTAGAACACGTTTCGTGCCGCATGATCCGTGCGTGCCTGTTTGGACAAAACAGGACTCGAGCTAGGAATGCTGCGAACTGAAGCATGACATTCGTGCCATTATTCCGTGACCGATTTATAGCGACGCGGCCAATCTTACGAATGCCATCACATTTGGATGGTTTGCGCTGGCGAGTGT